AAAAAAAAAAAAAAAAAAAAAAAGAAACCGTGGAAGAGTTTATTCAGCTTCAACTTTAAGTCCAGTCCGGAACAGCCTCTCCCTAGGGGATGTCCCTCAGTGAAATCTCAAGGAAGAGGCTGCAGTTGGGAGGTAGTGGAACAATCTCCCTTCACTTTTTTTCGGTGAAAGCATTATAAAACTGTAAAATAAATTCTTTAGTTTTTACAGACCATTAGCTTTGTTTTGTTATCATTTATTATCAACAACGTGATGTAGAGTTCTAAGGAGATACGTAAGGCTGTTCTATTTGTTTTGCAAACAATAACTGGATAAAAATACAAAACTCTACAATTCCAGTACATTAACACAGCATTAAATGCTTATGATAAGCTTATTTTATCAGCTTCTAGAACAAAGCTGTTTCCCTACTATTTTCAACTAAGTTCGGGCTATTTTATCTTTACGATATATTAAAGCACGCGAGTAAATTATTTATTCTAAAATAAGGACAGGCTTATAGCAAGAAATTGACGTATATCTCTATAACGTGTGGATATCTTATGGTGCCCGCATTGTCGGATTTATCGTGAATTTTTTGTTTGCAAGTTGGTTCATTAGAATGGATGTTTATCATAGAAGGTATCATAGTTCATACAAATTAAATACAAAAACTGAAAGAGTGGTTAACCTGAAAACTCCCTACAGTTGTAAACTTTTTACAAACTTAACTGTAAGGAAATACCATTTATCGAAAACTATTTTTCTTTCAGTGGGGGGAGGTTGGGGGGGAAATGTCGAGGATAAAAGTGAACCACAACTGGTAAATAAGGTTCCTTCTAACGAAGCGATAAAATCCGTAAACTATTAGCATAAGTCTTCATAATTTTATACATGATCTGAAAAAAGAAATATTCAACAATTTTCTTTGATATGGTTATACTTCAGGAACCTGCTCACTGGCAGTCCGAAAATTATACTATTTTTAACCTTTTCGTTCATCAAAATAACGAGCCTCTTGGCTTCGGTTATAGCAGTTCCATATGATTAATGTAAATTGACTCCTGCTAATTAAGGCAACTCTCCCATTCTGAATTCTTCTGAGCCCTCGGGAGTAACTGTGTTCTCAAAGGATCTCACACCATTTTGATTTCCATACTTGTACATCGTTTGGTTCTAAAAGAATAACGAGAAGTTTGATTGACTGAGAAACAAAGGAAAAAAGGCATTACTTCGCCAAAGCATCCAGATGCGTTAAAAAGCAGACTGACCTGTTTACGAACTTTAGAAATTCCTCGGATGCGGGCAAATTTTTTCCAGCAGCTTGCTTTGTTACTGGATATTCCATCAGAGCAGCATCTTATCTGACGTGGAATCACTGACTTTGGAACCGTAAATACCAATTGCCCCCAGATTAGCTCGGAAAACCCGAAAAACAAACACCACATCCACTGATCCCAGTCCATATCAACAACACGGAACGAGTAAGTGAAGAACTCTACAATAATCAGCTGTAAAAGAT